GGAATTGCAGAGGTGGGATTAAACCACTTTGTCCTGATGGCAAACCAGATATGTTTGTTTAAAGTGAATTATTTATTATGGCAAATGAACAGGCAAATGAACAGAGTAAAGATCTTAATCAGAATTATTTACTACACAGTGTCAAAGCTACAAACTCCTAGTAGAGTAAAATATAGCCTAAAATACAATAGCACTCTATATCAGAGCAGTTGAGTTAATTAATTGGAGCAAAGCTGGCCAAAGAAACGGTCATTGAGTGGAGATTGATGTGACTCTCGCACGAGGATCGAGGATCGTGGGCAGGTCTCTCTTTTAACCTGTCCTGCGGGGAGGGAAAGGCTCAGACAAAGTTATTTGAGAAGCTCCTGTTGAGTCTTGAGGTGCAGAAAACCCACTTGGTTTTTAAACTCCCTCCCAGAGAGGCCCAAGTGTGGCTGGATCAAATCTTAGGCTCAGATCATGTCAAAGGGTCGAGTTACAGAGGTGGGATTAAACCTCTTTGTCCTGTGGGTGTGAATGGTGGCAAATCAGAGGTGTCTGTGTACAGTGCATTATTTATCCCAGGCTGTTTATCTGGGTTGGAAGGGACGGTGAAGTCCAACCCTCAGCTCTGCCTGGGACCATCTCCCTGGGCCTGAGAGGATCATCCCAAAGCTCCTTGAACTCTGGCACCCTTGGGACTGTGACCACTTCCCGTGTATCCCCGGGCCAGGGAGCAGCTTATCTGCCAAGCCCTGCTGCCCAAAGCAGGGCCGGGTGTTTGCAGCGGGTGAACCAGGCTGGGTTTGGCACAGCCCAAGCCCGAGGCAGCCCCCTGGCACCGGCAGGAACTCTCCACCAAGAGCTGGTGTTGTTTGCGTGCTCCGACCAGATCTGGGCTTTACCCGGGCAGAGCGTCGTGCCTCGGCACCCCCGGGTGCTGACCCCCTGTCCCCGCAGGCACCCCGTCCCCCTGCGAGCCCAACGAGTTCAAATGTGCCAACGGGCACTGCGCCCTCAAGCTCTGGCGCTGCGACGGCGAGAACGACTGCGGGGACGGCTCCGACGAGAGCGACTGCCGTGAGTGCGGGGGGCTGGGGGACACCCGGGGGGACAGGGGCACGGCTGACGCCTGGCACCGTGCCCCCCTGCAGCCACCAAGGCGCCCGGCGCGGCCTGCGGGCCGGCGGAGTTCCGGTGCGTGTCCAGCGGGAGCTGCATCCGGGCGAGTTACCAGTGCGACAGGGAGCCCGACTGCCCCGACCGCAGCGACGAGGTCGGCTGTGGTGAGTGACAGCCCGGGCACCGCGGGCAGGGGGCACACGGGCACCCGGGGGGCTGGGGACACCGCACCAGGCGTGCTGTGTACAAAGTGGGGGGGACCGGGCTGTGGCACTGGGCTGGGGACACCGTGCCCAGGGACCCTGGCCTGGGGACACTGTGCCTGCAGACTCTGCTGTGGCACTGGGCTGGGGACACTGTGCCCAGGAACCCTGGCCTGGGGACACTGTGCCTGCAGACTCTGCTGTGGCACTGGGCTGGGGACACCGTGCCCAGGGACCCTGGCCTGGGGACACTGTGCCTGCAGACTCTGCTGTGGCACTGGGCTGGGGACACTGTGCCCGGGGACCCTGTGCTGTGGCACCAGGATGGGGACATTGTACATGGGGACAGTGCCATGGCACCAGGAGGGGGACACTGTGCCCAGGGACCGTGTCCTGGCACCAGGATGGGGACATTGTACCTGGGGACAGTGCCATGGCACCAGGAGGGGGACACTGTGCCCAGGAACCCTGTGCTGTGGCACTGGGATGGGGACACTGTGCCCAGGGACCCTGTGCTGTGGCACTGGGATGGGGACATTGTACCTGGGGACAGTGCCATGGCACCAGGAGGGGGACACTGCACCCAGGAACCCTGTGTCATAGCACTGGGATCAGGTCTGTGTTTGGGGACACTGCCACGGCACCAGGCTGGGGACATTGTGCCAGGGACCCTGTGCCATGGCAGCAGGCTGGGGACATCGTCCCTAAGGACCCTGTGTCATGGCACTGGGCTGGGGACATTATGCCTGGGGACACTGCCATGGCACCAGGCTGGGGACATTGTGGCCATTGATCCTGTCCTGTGGCACTGGGCTGGGCATACTGTCCAGGGCCCCTGTGCCATGGCACCAGGATGGGGGCACTGCACCCAGGGACCCAATGCCAGGGCAGTGTGTTGGGGACACTGTGCCCAGGCACTCTGTGCCATGACACTGGGCTGGGGACACTGAGCCGAGCCAGGGCCCTTGTGCCACAGGACCACACTGGTGACCCCGTCCCCAGGCTGGGCTGGGCACCCCATGCTGGAGACACTGTCCCCAGGCAGTGCCACGCTGGGGAGCCTGTGCCATGGCACCACGCTGGGGACCTCCTGCTGGGAACCTTGTCCCAAGTGGTGCCATGCTGGGCACCCTGTGCCACAGCACCGTGCTGGGTGTCACACTGGGAACTCTGTCCCCAGACTGCTCTGGAAGCCCTGTGCCAGTGCCCCTGTGCCCAGGTGGCTCTGGGGAGTGGCAGCAACGTCCCCATCCCCAAGGGTGCTGTGCAGAGTGGGTGGTGCCAGTGGGGGTGACAATCTTCAACCCCCGGGGGTGCCACATGGGGCAGGCGGTGCCAGTGGCTGTGGTGGTGACAATGATGAGGGTGGAGGTGGCAGTGTCCCCCAGGGTGCTGTGTGCGGCAGTGAGTGACAGGGTGGGGGTAACAGTGACAGTGACAGGGTGGGGGTGGCAGTGACAGTGACAGGGAGGGGGTGGCAGTGACAGTGACAGGGTGGGGGTGGCAGTGGCAGTGACAGTGACAGGGTGGCAGTGACAGTGACAGTGACAGGGTGGGGGTGGCAGTGACAGTGACAGGGTGGGGGTGGCAGTGACAGTGACAGTGACAGGGTGGGGGTGGCAGTGACAGTGACAGGGTGGGGGTGGCAGTGACAGTGACAGTGACAGGGTGGGGGTGGCAGTGACAGTGACAGGGAGGGGGTGGCAGTGGCAGTGACAGGGTGGGGGTGGCAGTGGCAGTGACAGGGAGGGGGTGGCAGTGGCAGTGACAGGGTGGGGGTGGCAGTGGCAGTGACAGGGAGGGGGTGGCAGTGCCCCCGCAGGTGGTGACACTGCCGCGGGAGTCGGTGGTGGCGGTGCCAGGCCAGACCGTCACCTTCACCTGTGTGGCCACCGGTGTCCCCACCCCCATCGTCACCTGGCGCCTAAACTGGGGACACACCCCCAGCAGCCACAGGTGGGCGGGGCTTGGGTGGGTGTGGTTCGATGGGCGGGGCCTGGGGCGGGGCATAAGGGAGTTGTGGGGTGGGGATTGGGGAAGGGATGTAACAAAATTCGGGAGGGGCTTGCCTTGGGTGTAGTCTGTGATGGGAGGGGCTTCCATTTGGGGTGGGGCTGTGGAGGGTGGGGCTTGTGGTTTGGGGGCCGAGGTGGTTGGGGAGGGTTGGGCTTGGGCCTGTGATGGTGGGAGGGGCTTGTGCGGGGGAAGGGGGGGGGAGGGTGGGGGTGGGAGGGGCACACAGCAGGTCTGGGCCCCCTCCCCTGGGGCTGGGCACCACCGGAGCACTGGGTGTGCTGGGTGTGCTGGGTATGCAGGGCACTGGGTGTCAGGAGACTGGGTGTGCAGGGCACTGGGTGTCCCAGGGGTTGGGTATGTGGGGCTGTGGGTTTACTGGGTGCCAGGTGTGTGTGACACTGGGTGTGTGTGGCACTGGGTGTGCTGGGCACCAGGTGTGGTGGGTACTGTCAGTACTGGGTTCTGGGTGTGCTGGGCACTGGGTGTTTGTGGCACGGTGTGTGTGTGGCACAGTGTGTGTGTGTGGCACGGTGTGTTTGGGGCACGGTGTGTGCCGTGCCCGGGGTGCCAAGCGTGCCGTGCAGGGTATCGATCGTGAGCGAGGCCGGGCAGGGCACCCTGACCATCCGGGACGTGAAGGAGGCCGACCAAGGCGCCTACACCTGCGAGGCCATCAACACCCTGGGCATGGTGTTTGGCATCCCCGACAGCATCCTCACCGTCACCCGCCCTGGTGAGCACCCACGCTGCCCCTCTGCATCCCACCCCCCCAGCGTGGCAATGCCCCCTCACCCGCTGCCTCACCCCCCGCAGGGCCGTGTCCCGAGGGGCACTTCCAGGTGACGGGGACATCCCGCTGCCTGCCCTGCTTCTGCTTCGGCGTCACCACCTCGTGCCGCGGCACCGCCCGGCACCGGCACCGGCTCCACCTGCGCTTCGACCGCCCCGACGACACCAAGGGTGAGTTGTGGGGACGAGGGACACGCCAGGGGACGAGGGACAGGGGACAAGGGCTGAGTGTCCCCTCGCAGGTGTCAACGTGACGGTGCCGGCGGCGCCGGCCGCACCAGTGCTCTCGGCCACCCAGCTCCACGTGGACGCAGCCGTGGAGGAATTCCAGCTCCTGGATCTGTCCCGGCGCTTCCTGGCGCTCGACGTCTTCTGGGCGCTGCCAGAGCCCTTCCTTGGGGACAAGGTGACGCCGGGGTGGGGACAGGGCGGGGGACGCCGGTGGCACAGCCGCTGACAGCCCCTGTGCTGCCAGGTGGACGCCTACGGGGGAGCGCTGAGCTATGGGGTGCGGTACCGGCTGGGCCGGGGGCCCCCCGAGCCCACCACCCACCCCGACCTGCTGCTGCGGGGCCACGGGCGGCAGCTGCGGGCACGGGCTGGGGCCACCCAGCCCAACATCCTCAACCGACGGCACGTGCCCCTCACCGAGGTGGGTGGGAGGAGGGCGGGGTGGGTGGGTGATGGTGGTGGTGGAGGAGAGGTGATGTTGGTGGTGGTGGGTGGTAGTGATGGTGGGTGGGTGATGGTGGTGGTGGGGAGATGATGGTGGTGATGGACGGGTGATACTGGTTATGATGGTGGGTGATGCCACTGGTGGGTGATGGTGGTGGTGGGTGGTGGTGGTGGTGGGTGATGGTGGTGGGTGGTGGTGGTGGTGGGTGATGGTAGTGGTGGGTGATGGTGGTGGTGGGTGGTGGTGGTGGTGGGTGGGGTGGTGGTGTGATGGTGGTGGGGTGGGTGATGGTGGTGGGGTGGTGGTGGTGGGTGGGTGATGGTGGTGGTGGGTGGGTGGTGGTTGGTGGGTGATGGGGGTGGTGGGTGGTGGGTGGTGGTGGGTGGGTGATGGTGGTGGTGGGTGGTGGTGGTGGTGGGTGATGGTGGTGGTGGGTGGTGGTGGTGGGTGATGGTGGTGGTGGGTGGTGGTGGTGGGCGGGTGATGCCGGAGTGATGAGTGAGTGATGCTGACAGTGGGTAAGTGATGCCAGTGACGCCAGGCAGGTGATGCCAGTGGTGCCAGTGGGTGATACCAGCACTGCCACCAGCCCGCTGTGACCCCGCTGTCACTGCCCCGTGACAGGAGCACTGGGAGGATGAGCAGGGTGCCCCGGTGAGCCGGGAGCTGCTGCTGCTGGTGCTGCAGGATCTGGAGGGCATCTTCATCCGGGCGGTGTACGACGGGCGCATGGCCAGCGTGGGGCTCAGCGACGTGGCCATGGATGTCACCAGCGCCGGGGACACCGGCCTGGGGCCGGCTGGCAACGTTGAGGAGTGCAGGTGACTACCGATGGCGAGGTCACGGGCTCGGTGCCACCGCTGCTGTGATGCCACGATGCCACCATCTCCCCGCTGTGTCCCCAGGTGCCCCGTGGGCTACACAGGGCTGTCGTGCCAGCGCTGTGCCCCCCGCTTCGAGCGGGTGACGAGGGGACCCTACCTGGGGACCTGCTCCGGCTGCGGCTGCCACGGCCACTCCAGCACCTGCGACCCCGTGTTTGGGCACTGCCTGGTAAGGGGCGGGGAGCTGATGAGGTGACAGAGGGACAGGGATGTGGCACAGTGGCACGGTGCCACCACCCCCCTGTGACTCGTGTGTGTCCCCCCCAGAACTGCCAGCACAACACAGAGGGGCCACAGTGTGAGAAGTGCAGACCCGGCTTCTTCGGCGATGCCACCAAGGGCACGGCCACCGCCTGCCACCCCTGTCCCTGTCCCTACACGGAGCCCTCACGCAGGTGGGTGACAATCCCGGGGACCACCCAGTGCCACCCCCAGGGACCCCCTCAGTGCCACTGCCCCGTGATACCTCTCCTTGTGGAGGAGAACTGGAGGAGGCACTGGGCCATACTGGGAGCACTGGGAGCTCTCCAAAAACATCCCCAAGCCCCATACTGGTCCGTACTGGCCCATATTGATCCATACTGGTCCCTACTGATCCATAATGGTCCATATTGATCCATACTGGTCCTTACTGGTCCATATTGATCCATACTGGTCCATACTGGTCCATACTGTCCCCGCAGGTTCTCGGAGTCGTGCTTTCTGGACACGGACGGCCAGGCCACCTGCGACGCCTGCGCCCCTGGATACGCCGGCCGGCGCTGCGAGAGGTGGGGGGCAGTCCCTGTAGCCCCCACACCCCTCAGCCCCCCATCACCCCCCAATTACCCCCAATCACTCCCCAATCACCCCCCGTCCCCACAGGTGTGCCCCAGGCTATGAGGGAGACCCCATCCAGCCAGGTGGCAAGTGCACCCCAGTCGGTGAGTGGGAGGGGCTGGTTGGGGGTATCCCCCCCCCATGGGTGGCCCCCACCCTCACCCTGCTGCCCACAGGTCAAGAGCTTGTCAAGTGTGATGCCCGTGGGGGCCAGGACGAGGCTGGTGGCACCTGTCGCTGCAAGGTGAGGGCAGGGGCTGGGGGGCAACAGGGGGCAATGGGGGAGTGGGGGTTGCCATCCCCCCAGCACCCAGTCTGTTCCCTGGGGTACCCAGTCCCATCCTCCTCCCCCAGCACCCATCGCACCCCCACCCCATGGCACCCAGCCCAACTCCCCATGGGATACACTACAATGCTCCCATAACACCCAGTCTGCTCCCTGGGGCACCCAGTCCCACCATCCCACCTCCAGCCCCCATGACAAACCTCTCCATAGCACCCAGTCTGACCTCCCATAACACCGAGTCTGACCCCCCAGCTCCCAGTCCAACCCCCCATAGCATCCAGTCTGACCTCCCATAACACCCAGTCTGACCCCCTCATAGCATCCAGTCCAACCCCCCATAGCATCCAGTCTGACCCCCCATAGCACCCAGTCCAACCCCCCATAGCACCCAGTCTGACCCCCCATGACACCCAGTCCAACCCCTCATGACACTCAGTCTGACCCCCCATAACTCCCAGTCTGACCCCCCATGACACCCAGTCCAACCCCCCATAACACCCAGCCTGACCCCCAGCTCCCAGTCCAACCTCCGATAACACCCAGCCTGACCCCCCCATCACACTCATTCCCACCCCCCAGCCCCCAGCCCAATCCCTGGGGTCCCCACTCTGACCCCCAGCACCCATCCCACCCTCACCCTGTGGCACCCAATCCACCCCCAGCGCCCATCCCCGTGCCCCCCGCGCCCCCTCACTCTGCCCCCTCCCTGTGCCCGCAGCCCAACGTGCGGGGCCGGCTCTGCGACTCCTGTGCCGCGGGCACCTTCCACCTGAGCGCTGCCAACCCCGCGGGCTGCCTGCCCTGCTTCTGCATGGGGCTGTCCCGCTCCTGCGCCAGCTCCGCCTGGCACCGGCACCAGGTACCGTGAGGGGGATGGGGCAGGCCGGGCCGTGCCAGGCCACAACGTGCCATGCTGTGCCATACTGTGCCATGCTGTGCCATCCTGTACCGTGTCGTGATGTGCCTTGGCGTGTCTTGCCGTGTTGGGCCATGTTGGGCCATGCTGGGCCATACTGTGTCATACCAAGCCATGCCGTGCCATTATGTGCCATGCTCTGCCATGCCATGTCACGCCACGCTGTGTTGTGCCATGCTGTGCCTTGCTGTGCCATCTTGTACCGTGTCGTGCCATGTTGTGCCGTGCTGAGCCATACTGGGTCATGCTAAGCCATGCCACGCCATGTAGTGCCATGCTGTGCCACGCCATGTCAGTGCCATGCCGTGTTGTGCCATGTCCTGCCACGCCTTGCCATGCCATGCAATGACGGACCGTGATCTGTCGTGTCATGCCCTGTGGTGCCAGGCCATGCCCTGCCACACTGTGCTGTGCCATGCCATGCTGTACCTCATCGTGCCATGTCATGGCATGATATGCCATGTTACACCGTGCCATGTCGTGCCATGTCGTGCCATGGTGTGTCACGTCATCCATGCCATTACATGCCATGCCATGCTATGCCTTGACATACCATGTCATGCTGTGCCGTGTGGTGCCATCATACACCATGCCAGGCTATGTCATGTCATGCCACATCTTGCCATTATGTGGCATTATGTGCCATGCCATGCCCTGCCTGGACACACCATGCCATGTCATACTATGCCATGTGGTGCTGTGCCGTGCCATGTAGTACCGTGTCATACCTGCCATGTAGCGCTGTGCCGTGTAGTGCCATGCCATGCCAGGTAGTGTCATGTCATGCCACGCCGTGTCATTCCATGTAGTGCCATGCCGTGCCAGGTAGTGTCATGTCATGCCACGCCGTGTCATTCCATGTAGTGCCATGCCGTGCCGTGCTGTGCCGTGCCGTGCCATGCCATGCCATGCCACGCCACGCCGTGCCCACCATGCTCCCTCCCCAGGTGCTGCTGACCTCGGAGGACTCTGCCCCGCTGCCCCTGGCCAACGTGTCGGGCACCCCCCTGCCAGGGGCCGTGCCCCGCTTCGTGTCCCCACGGGAGCTGCTCCTCGACACCTTCCGGGACCTGCCGCGGGGTGTCCTGTACTGGGTGCTGCCACCACCCTTCGCCGGGGACAAGGTGACACTTGCGGGCCACCCTGAGCTCACCGTGTCCCCAGTGCCAGCTCAGGGGCAGGGGGACACCCCTGGGCCACACCGACCCTCACCGTGTCCCCAGTGCCAGCTCAGGGACAGGGTTACATCCCAAACCACCCTGAGCCCACTGCCACTCCAGGGGGGAAACACCTGTGTGACACCCCTGGGCCACACTGAGCCTACAGTGTCCCCAGTGCCAGCTCAGGGACAGGGTGACACCCCTGGGCCACACTGAGCCTACAATGTCCCCAGTGCAGCTCAGGGACAGGGTGACACCCTCGAGCCGTGCAGAGTTTCATGTCACCTGCTGCCAACTCTGACGGGGACAGGGGACACCCCTGGGCTGACCTGAGCCCCACAGTGTCACCTGCTGCCACTCGGGGGGACAGGGTGACACCCTCACATCACACTGAGCCTCACCTTGTTCCCCCACCACTGCGTCAGGGGGGGCATGGGGTGACACCCCTGGGCCACCCTGAGCCTCACAACGTCCCCCTCTGCCAGCTCGGGGGGGACAAGGTGACATCCCCGAGCTACACTAAGCCTCACTCCAGGGGGACAGGGTGACACCCCTGAGCTGACCCGAGCCCCACAATGTCACCTGCTGCCACTCTGGGGGGCCAGGGTGACCCCCCCAAAGCACACTGTGCCTCGGTGTCCCCTGCTGGCACTGGCTGCGGGGGAGGGACCCCCGGCCACGCTGAGTGTCCCCGCAGGTGACGGCGTACGGGGGGGAGCTGCGGTACACGGTGACACACCGCGCCCCCCCGGGGGCCCCCCCGCCCCCCCGGCACCCCGACGTCCTGCTCCAGGGCAACGGGATCCTCCTGGAGCACTTCTCCAGTGCCACCCCCCCGGCCGGGGTCCCCACTGCCATCACCGTGCCCATCCGAGAGGTGAGGGGGGGACACCCAGCAAGGGGGACATGGGGGGACACTGGGGGTCGGGGGGGGGGGTTGGACTGGGTGCTGTGGGGTCAGACTGGGTGCTATGGGGGGTCAGACTGGGTGCTAGGGGGCAGGGGTGAAATGGATGCCATGGAGAGGTGGGTTTGGGTGCCCCAGGCATTGGACTGGGTGTCATGGGGGGTTGGACTGGATGTCACAGGGGACTGGGAGGGGTCCCATGGGGGTCAGACTGGGTGCCATGGGGAATGGGGTGGGCTGGGTGCATAGGGAGGGACTGGGTGCCCCAGGGGTCAGGCTGGGTGCCATGGGGGGTTGGGCTGCAGGATTGGACCAGGCACCATGGAAGGGTGGGATTGGGTGCCCCGTGGATTGGACTGGGTGTCGTGGTGGGGGTCAGACTGGGTGCAGGGGGTGGGTTGGACTGGGTGCTACGGGAGGTCAGACTGGGTGCTCCAGGGAATTGGATTGGGTCTTCTGGGGACCTGGAGTCGGTGCTAAGGGGCAGGATGTGGGAGGAGAGGGACTGGGTGCCCCAGGGGTCAGGCTGGGTGCCATGGGGGGTCGAGCTGCAGGATTGGACCGGGTGCCATGGAAGGGTGGGATTGGGTGCCCCGTGGATTGGACTGGGTGTCATGGTGGGCATCAGATTGGGTGCTTTGGGGGGTCAGACTGAGTGCCCCAGGGGATTGGAGGGGGTCCCGTGGGGGCTGTACTGGGTGCCATGGGGCAGAGGTGGGCTGGATGCTGGGAGACCAGACTGGGAACCCCTGGGATCACACTGGGGACATTGGGGGTGGGACTGGGTGACCCCAGGATCAGTCTGGGTGCCATGGGGGGGTCACCCTGGGTGCTCCAGGGATCAGTCTGGGTGTCATGGGCTGGATGCTGGGATACCAGACTGGGAACCCCTGGGATCACACTGGGGACATTGGGGGTGGGACTGGGTGACCCCAGGATCAGTCTGGGTGCCATGGGGGGGTCACCCTGGGTGCTCCAGGGATCAGTCTGGGTGTCATGGGGGGGTCACCCTGGGTGCCTGGGGGGTGGGGCTGTGTGCAGTGGGGGATGACAGCACCTCTGTCACCCTGGTGTGCCACAGGGCGCCTGGCGCCGCGCGGACGGGCACGATGCCACCCGCGAGCACCTGCTGATGGCCCTGGCCGACGTGGACCTGTTCATGATCCGGGCGTCCTACTCAGAGCAGCCAGAGGAGAGCAGGTGGGTACTCGGGGTGGGGGGCACGGGAGGGGGCGTGGAGGGTGGCAGGGCCGTGGTGACGTGTCCTCTGTCCCCGCAGCCTGGCCGATGTCAGCCTGGACGTGGCAGTGCCACACGTCACCGGCCGCCCGCCCGCGCTGGAGGTGGAGGACTGTGCCTGCCCGCCCGGGTACCGCGGGGCCTCCTGCCAGGTGAGACCCCCTGGGGCCCCTCAGCATCCTCGGGGTCCCCTCAGCACCCTCGGGGTCCCCTCAGCGCCCCGCCGAGCCGTGTCCCACCCCGCTGGCACCGTGTCCCCTCTAGGACTGTGACACCGGCTACACCCGCAGCAGCGCCGGGCTCTACCTGGGCACGTGTGAGCCGTGCCAGTGCCACGGCCACGCCGGCGAGTGCCACCCCGACACCGGCGTCTGCCAGGTGAGTGGGGACAGCCAGGGGACACCCCGGGCACCGCCATGGCGGGGACACCAGTGCCATCACCCCTTTGCTTCCCAGGGCTGCCGGGATCACACGGAGGGACCCCAGTGTGACAAGTGCCAGCCCGGCTACTATGGCGATGCCACCCGGGGCACCGCGGGCGACTGCCGGCCCTGTCCCTGCCACGGGCCCCATGGGGACAGCCAGTAGGTGCCACCCCTGCTCCCCCACATCCCTGGGGACACCGGCAGGGTGTCACCTGTCACTTTGTCCCCTCTTCAGGGTGACCAAGATCTGCTTCGAGGACACGGACGGGCAGCCCACCTGCAGCGCCTGCGCCCCGGGGCACGGCGGGCGCCTCTGTGAGAGGTGACAGGGGACACCAGGGCGGGCTGCGGGGTCGTTTTGGGGTGGACCCCCCCTCACTGCCTTTTTTTGGGGTGTCCCCCCATAGGTGCTTGCCCGGGTACGTGGGGGACCCACCGCGGGGACAACCGTGCCAAGGTGAGCGTCACAGGGAGGGGGCGAAGCGGTGTCCCCGTGGTGGCACTGAGGGGGGGTTGTGTCTGACTGTGTGTGTGTCCCCCCCTCCAGTGCCCGGCGTCCCCGGGGGGCAGTGCCAGTGTGACCCGCGCGGCAGCACCGGCGAGGGCTGTGATGCCAACGGGCAGTGCCGCTGCAAGGTGAGCCCCGTGTGCCCCCCACGCCCCGAGGAGGGGCGACAGGGCCACGTCACCACCCCGTGTCCCCCCCCAGGCCAATGTGGAGGGTCCCCACTGTGCCACCTGCCGTGCCCATCACTTCCACCTGAGCGGGGCCGAGCCGGCCGGGTGCCTGCCCTGCTTCTGCATGGGCATCGTGCAGCACTGCGCCAGCACCGCCCTCGCCCGCGGCACCGTGAGTGTCCCCCGCACCCACAGGGTGCCCCCTGGGTGCCCCCCGGGTGTCCTGGACCCCGCTGACCCCCCAGTCCCGCAGGTCCGGACGCCCTTCGCCCCGGGGGATGCCCAGGGGTTCGCCCTGGTGAACAGGCAGCGCAGCACCCGCGTGGGCAGCGGCTTCGGGGTCCAGCCGGGCACCCCCCACCCCGTCCTGACCTACGAGCGCTTCGGGGAGCTGCCCCCCGACTCCTACTACTGGCAGCTGCCACCCCCCTACCAGGGGGACAAGGTAAGGGGGTGACCCCCCTGGGGGACAGAGGTGCCCACAGGAGCATCCATCCAGCCAGGGGCTGCTCCCCTTCCCCACGGGCACCCCTGAGGCTGCCAGAGGGGAGGTGGGCACAGCTGCCACCCTCCTACCAGGGAGACAAGGTAAGGGGTGACCCCCTCCCTGTGGACACCCCTGGTGCTGTCAGAGGGGAGGTGGGCATGGCCTCCTCATCTCTGCTCTTTTCTTCTTCCCTTTTCCTTCTCCCTTTTCCCATTTCTTCTTTCTTTCTGCTTCTTCTTTATTCCTTCTCTTTCTTCCTTTCCCCTTCTCCCCTTGCCCTTCTCTGTTTCCTCTTTTCCCCTCTCCTCTTCCATCTTGTCTTTTTCTCCTTTGCCCTTTCTCCTTTCCCCTTTCTCATCTGTCTTGTCCCACCCCATCCCCATCATCATTCCCATTCTTCTCCTCTTCCCTTTCCTCCTCCCTTTCCCTCCCTTCCTCTCCCATCCCCTGTCCTCCCCTCCCCATTGTCTTCCCATCCCTATCCTTTTCCTCTTTTCTCCTTCCCCTTCTCCCATCCCTTTCCTCTTCCTCGTCCTTGTTTCATCTCACCACCTTTGCCATCCCCACCCCTGTCCCCATCATCCCCATCCTCTTCCTCTTCCCTTTGCCCTTCCCTTCCCTTCCCTTCCCTTCCCCTCCCCTTCCCATCCCCTTCCCCTCCCCTCCGCTCCCCTTGCCATTCCATCCCATCCCTTCCCCTTCCCCTTCCCCTTCCCCTTCCCCTTCCCCTTCCCCTTCCCCCTCCTTTCCCCTTCCCCCTCCTTTCCCCTTCCCCTTCCCCATATTTTTCCCACCCTTCCCATTCCCGCTCCCATCCCGATCCCGTGTCCCTGTCCAGGTGGGCTCCTACGGTGGGCGCCTGCGCTATACCCTGACCTACACCCCGGGGGGCCCGGGAGCCCCCCAGCCTGACGCCGACATCCAGATCACGGTATGGGCTGGCACAGGGACACGGGCTGGCACAGGGGCACGGGGTGGCACCAGGACCCCCCTGACCCCCCCCATCCACAGGGCAACGACATCACGCTGGTGGCCCATCAGCCCGAGCTGCCCCCGCGGACCCCCCAGGCCTTTGAGATCATTTTCCGGGAGGTAGGAGGGGGCGGGTGGCTTCTGTCCCCGGTGTCCCCGTTGCCCGGGGCGTGTCCCCCCCGTGACCCCCCTGTCCCCTCAGCAATACTGGCAGCGGCCGGACGGGCAGCCGGCGACGCGGGAGCACCTGCTGATGGCCCTGGCGGACCTGGACGAGATCCTGATCCGGGCCACCTACTCCACGAGCACGGCCTCGGCCGGCATCGCCGGCGTGGCCATGGACACGGCCGTGCCCCCCCAGCCCGGCCTGCCCCCCGCCCCCGAGGTGGAGGAGTGTCGCTGCCCCCCCGGCTACCACGGGCTGTCCTGCCAGGTGGGACCAGTGTCACCTCCTCATCTCTCCCAGTGTCACCCCATCATCCCAGTCATGTCCCCGTCCTCCATCCCGGTATCACCCCCATCACCCCCAGCATTGCATCCCCCTCAGCATCTCCCCATCACCCTCCAGCATCCCGAGCATCACCCCCATCACCCCTTCAGCATCTCCCCTTCACCCCCATCATCCCCCTATTATCCCCCCATCACCCTCATTGCCCCATCACCCCATCATCGCCCCCATTATCCCCCCACCACCCCAGTTATCCCCTCATCGCCCCCATTATCCCCCCACCACCCCAGTTATCCCCTCATCACCCCCATAGTCCCTCCATCATTGTACCATCATCCCCCCCAGCATCCCCATCATTGCCCATCAGCCCCCAGCATCCCCCCAGCATTGCCCCCAGGACCCCCTCAGCATCTCCAGCATCCCCCCATCACCTCCCTGGCAGCCCCTCCATCACACCCCCCCGTCCCCCCCCTCACTCCTCATCCCCCCCCATTTCCCCACCACCCTCCATCCTCCCCTGTCGCCCTCCCACCTTCCCCATCCTGCCCCCATGCCCCGACCCCACTCCCCTGCCCCGTGTGGGTCCCTGACCGCCTGTTCCCCGCAGGACTGTGCCCCCGGGTACACGCGCACCGGGGGGGGGCTGTACCTGGGGCACTGCGAGCTGTGCGAGTGCAACGGGCACTCCGAGAGCTGCCACCCCGAGAGCGGCGCCTGCTCCGTAAGCCCCGCGTTGGGCGCGGTCTGGGGGGGCCGTGGCCTCGTGCTCGCTCTGACCCCCCGCTCTGTGCCCCCCCTGCCCAGGGATGTTTGCACAACACGGCCGGGGACTTCTGTGACCAGTGTGCCCCCGGGTTCTACGGGGACGCCACGGCCGGGACCCCCGAGGACTGCCAGCCCTGCGCCTGCCCCCTCCCGTACCCCGAGAACCAGTGGGTGCCAGTGCTGGGCTGGGGGGGTGCTGGGCTGGGGGTGCTGGCAGGGGCTGTACCCCCACCGTGCCGTGTCCCTGCAGGTTTTCCAGGACGTGTGAGAGTTTGGGAGGTGGCGGGTACCGCTGCACCGCCTGTGAGCCGGGCTACACCGGGCAGTACTGCGAGCGGTGAGGCTGCTGGCACCCCAAAACACACCCCAGCGTACCCACCCCTGTATACCCCCCCACATACCCCCCCATGGGCTCACCCCCATACACACACCCCTATATGCCTACCCTCAGAAATCAACCCCCATCGGCTCACCTCAACACACCCATCCCTGTGTACCTACCCCCAAAACCCACCCCCAAAACCCACCCCCATGGGCTCACCCCCATAGACCCACCCCCATGGGCTCACCCCCATATACCCACCCCCATATACCCACCCCCATGGGCTCACCCCCATATACCCACCCCTAAAACCCACCCCCATGGGCTCAGCCCAACATTTCCACCCCCAAAACCCACCCCCACTGGCTCACTCCCATATACCCACCCCCAAAAACCCACCCCCAAATACCCACCCCTATGAGGTCACCCCAACATACCCACCCCAAAAACCCAACACCAAACCCACCCCCATGGGCTCACCCCCATGTACCCACCATCATGGGCTCACCCAAGCATACCCACCCCAAAACCCCACCCCATATATGCACCCCCATGGGCTCACCTCATATAGCCACCCCCACACCCACCCCCATGGGCTCAGCCCCAAAATCCACCCTCAAAAACCCACCATCATGGAGTCACCCCCTTATACCCACCCCCAACCCTCCCCCCCATGGGCTCACCCCCATATACACACCCCTATATACCCACCCCCATATACCCACCCCCATATACCCACCCCCATGGGTTCAGCCGCATATACCCACCCACAACCCCCCCCCGATTGGATCACCCTGATATACCCACCCCAAACCCATCCCCATGAGCTCACCCCCATATTCCCACCCCCAATACACCCACCCCAAAGTGCTCACCCCAATACACCCACCCCAAAGTGCTCACCCCAATACACCAACACACCTTTCCTGATGAGCTCACCCCATGCTCACCCCATAAGCTCACCCCAATAAGTGCATCTTGTTGAGGATCCATGCCCTCACCCTGATGTGCTCACCCCAATGTGCTCACCCCAATTGATGCACCCCAATATACCCAGCACACCCACCCCAAAGTGTTCACCCTGACATACCCACTCTGATACAGTCACCCCGATGGACTTCTCCTAACAGACCAACCCCAAAATGCTCCCCCTCCATACACCCACCCCAATATACCCACCCCAAGTGCTCTCACCCCTATACCCACCTTGATACTGTCACCCCGATATACCCACCCCGATATCCCCACCCTGATGTGCTCACCTCTATGAGCTCACCCCAATCTATGCATCCTAATGGGCTCACCCTGATGATCTGCACCCCAATACACCCACCCCAGTACACCTGCCCTGTTGGCCTCACCCCAATATACTCACCCCAAAATGCTCACCCTCATACCCACCTTGATACAGCCACCATGATATACCCACCCCACTACACCCATCCCAATATACCCACCGTGATGTGCTCACCCCAATATACTCACCCTACATACACCCCTCAGTACACCCACACCCATAGAGTCACCCCAACGTGCTCACCCCATGTGTGCACCCCAATATCCCCACCCTGATGTGCTCACCCAAATAGATGCACCCCAATATCCCCACCCCAGTTTACCCACCCCAATAGGTTCACCCCAATATATGCACCCCAATATGCTCACCCTATACACTCACCTGATGGGCTCACCCCAATATAACCACCCGATGTGCCCCAGTGTGCTCACCCCCATATACACCCCAGTACTGCTACCCCAGCACCCCCACCCCGATACACCCACCCCAATATACCCACCCCACGTACCCCAATATGGTGACCCCCATATACACCCCAGCATCCCTGCCCCAGTATACTCACCCCCTGTACCCCAATGTGCTCACCCCCATATACACCCCAGTACTCCTGCCCCAGCACCCACACCCCGATACACCCACCCCAATATACCCACCCCCTGTACCCCAATATGGTGACCCCCATATACACCCCAGCATCCCTGCCCCAATACACCCACCCCAGTATACTCACCCCCTGTACCCCAGTGTGCTCACCCCCATATACACCCCATACACCCACTCCAATACACCCACCTCCTGTACCCCAATGTGCTCACCCCCATATACACCCCAATACACCCACCCCCTGTACCCAGTACTCTCACCCCCCCGCATCCCCCACACCCCCACCCCTTGTACCGCAATCCCCCCACCCCAATACCCCCCGAGACGCCCCTAACCCCGTCCCCGCTCCCGCAGCTGTGCCCCCGGGTTCCGGGGTGACCCCACGGTGCGCGGGCAGGGCTGTGTCCCCGCGGGCCCCCCGCCCGCGCTGGCCGTGCGGGTGCACCCCCCGCGCACGGCGGTGCCGCGGGGCAGTGCGGTCACCCTGCGGTGCCAGGCCAGCGGGGAGCCCCCCCTCTACTACCACTGGGGGCGGGAGGACGGCAGAGCCCTCCCCGAGGGCGCCCAGAGCCGCCGCCAAGGTACGGGGGGACACCGGGGTGTCCCCAAGGGCAGTGGGGGGTTGTCAGTGCCAGCAAGGTTTGGGGGGCTCGGGGAGGGGGTGACAGCGCAGTGTCCCCGAGGGGTGTGTGTAGGGGGTGTTAGCGCTGGTGAGGTGTGGGTGGCTCAGGGTGAGGGGACATTGGGGTGTCCTCGAGGGGTCTGTGTGTGAGGGGGTGTCAGTGCCAGCAAGGTACGAGAGGGCTCTGGGCAGGGGGGAGACATCAAGGTGTGCCCTAGGGGTGTGGGGGGTATGTCAGCACCAGCAAGGTTTGGGGTGCGAGAAGGGCATCGAGGTGTCCCCAAGGGGTGTGTTTGGGGGGTGTCAGCACAGGCAAGGCATGGGGTGGTTTGGGGTCGAGGGGGAACATTGGGATGTCTCCAAGGGGTGTGTGGGGGGGTGTCAGCACCAGCAGGGTATGGGGTGGGGGGGAAATTGGGGTGTCCCCGGGGGGGATGGTGTATGTGGGGTGTCAGCACCGGCAAGGTATGGGATGGCTCAGAGTGGGGGTACATCAGGGTGTCCCCCGGGGGTGTGTGGGGGGGTGTCAGTGTCAACAAGGTATGGAGTGGCTCAAGGGGCGGGGGGACATTGGGGTGTCCCCAAGGGGTGTGTGGGAGGGGTGGCTCGGGGTGGCTCGGGGTGAAAGCGGGGGCATCAGGGTGTCCCCGAGGGGCGTGTGTGGGTGTGCAGGGTGTCACCTGCGTGTCGCCCCAGGCGAGGAGCTGCACTTCCCCAGCATCCAGCCCTCGGAGGCCGGAGTCTACGTGTGCTCCTGCCGCAACCTCCGGCACAGCAACGCCAGCCGTGCCGAGGTCATCGTCACCGGTAGGGCGCTGGCACCGAGGGGGGTGGGCGTGGAGGGGGGCAGGGTGGGCTCAGCTGTCCCTATGTCTGGGCGCAGAGACCCCCGACAAGCCCATCACTGTCACCGTGGAGGAGAAGCGGGTGCAGCGGGTGCAGCCGGGCGCCGACGTCACCTTCGTCTGCACCGCCAAGAGCAAGGTGAGGGGGGGGGGGCCCGGCACGGCGGGGGGTGCAGGGCACCCTTGGGGGGCATGGGGACATGCAGGGCACAGGGACACCCTTGTGTGCCCACCTGGTCACATAGGGCATGTGAGCACCCTTGGGTGCTCCTGGGGACATGCAGGGCACAGAGAGCCATGGGTGGCCCCAGGGACACCCCTACATGCCCTTAGGGACATCCAGGGCACAGGGTCACCTCTGGGTGCCCATGGGGACATCTCTGGGTGCCCACAGGGTCATTCAGGTTAAGGTGACACCCCTGGGGGCCCATGAGGTCATGGAGGGCACAGATACACTTATGGTTGCCCATGGGGACATCCAGGGCATGGGGACACCCTTGGGTGTCCATGGGGACATCCAGGACATAGGAACACCTCTAGATGTGCGTGGGGTCATGCAGGGCATGGGGACACCCTTGGGCACCCACAGGGACGTCCAGGGTATGGGAACATCCCTGGGTGCCCACCTGGTCTCACAGAGCAGGATACCCAGAGATTTACCCACAGGGACACCCAGGGCACAGGGACACCCCTGGCTGCTCCTATAGACCCCCCAAACACCCTTTGGTCCCCGTACAACTCTTTGGCCATCCCTGGGTACCCACCTCTCCCCGGCACGTGCCCAGACAGGCGCGTGCCCCCCTGGCACGCCCGTCCCTGTGGCCTCAGGCCTGCCCACGTGTCTCCCCCCCAGTCTCCCGCCTACACCCTGGTGTGGACGCGGCAGAACCACGGGACGCTGCCCGCGGGCGCCGTGGACTTCAACGGGATCCTGACGCTGCGCGGGGTGCGGCCCCAGGACGCCGGGGTCTACGTGTGCACCGGCTCCAACATGCTGGACATGGACCAGGGCACCGCCACACTCTACGTCCAGGGTCAGCCCCACCCACCGCCGTGGGCACAGGGGGTCCTGAGACCACGGGATGGGCACTGGGGGGGCCTGAGACCATGGGGAGGGGGATCTGTGGGGCCTGAGACCATGGGGAGGGGCACCGGCAGGTCCTGAGACCATGGGGATGGGGACCCATGAGCTCTGGTGATGGGGAGTGGACACCTGTGGGTCCTAAGACCATGGGAATGGGCACCTGTAGGTCCTGATGCCATGGGGGTGGGGACCTGTGAGTCCTGCGACCATGGGGATGGGCACCAGAGGGTTCTGAGACCACGGTGGTGGGTAGGTTCAGTGCCCAGACACCGGGGTGGTGGCAGGTTTGGTGCCCAGACCCGGGGGTGATGGGCGCACTCCCCTGACACCCCCCGCCCTCTTGCAGCAGCCTCGAAGACTCAGATGTTTTACGGCCCTGTTGAGTTCATGGAGGGGCACAGACCGGGTAAGTCACTGCGGGGGTCTCCCAGGGGGGTCCACACGCTGCCCCCACCCGCTGCATGCCGGGGCTCCACCGCGCACCCCGCTGCCAGCCGAGCCACGCCACCCCCGCTTCCCACCGCCCCACCAGCACCGGGGAGGGGCCCAGTGAGCCCTGAGCCCCCCCTGGTGTCACCGCAGCCGGCACCGCCACCGCCCCCACCGCCAGCGTGGAGCCGGCGCAGCTGAGCGTGGCACCGGGGCAGCCGGCGGAGTTCCGCTGCGTGGGCACCGGCAGCCCCGCGCCCACCCTCGAGTGGCTCGGTAGGTGCCCGCAGGGGACAGGGGGACACTGTCACTGGGCGTGGGGACGTGGCGATGGGGAGTGACACCAGCTGTGTCCCACAGGAGCGCTGCCGCCTCAGGCCATGGTGCAGGGCGGGACGCTGCGGTTCGGCGCCGTGGAACCCGCCGACGAGGGGCACTACGAGTGCCGGGCACGCAGCAGCGCCGGGCAGCACACGGCACGGGGGTACCTGCACGTGCAAGGTGAGCGGTGTCACCCTCGTCCCCACCACCCCTGTTGTCCCCCTCATCCCCATTGTCCATCCCCAGCATTTCCATCACCCCTGTCACCCCACTGTCCCCATCATCCCCAGCATTTCCATCATCCCTGTCACCCCACTGTCCCCATTGTCCCCATCATCCCCCTCCCCATCATCCTCTGTATCCCCATCCCCATCAACTCCATCATCCCTCTTACCCCGCTGTTCCCATCATCCCCATCATCCCCATCACCCCCATCATCCCCATCATCTTCATCACTCCTATTGTCCCCATCATCCCTGTCACCCCTCTTGCTCCCATCATCACCCGTCATCCCTGTCACTCCCCATTGTCCATCTCCATTGTCCCCATGGTCTGCATCATCCCTGCCATCCCCATCATTCCCATCACTCTCATCATCCCTGTCACCATTATCCCTGTCACCTCCCATTTTCCATCCCCCTCATTCCCATCATCCCTGTGACCATCATCTCTGTCACCCCCCATTATCCTCATCACCCCCTCTATCCCCCATCATCCCCCTCATCCCCATCATCTCATAATTCCCATTGTCCCCATCATCCTTGTCACCATCATTGTCTCTGTCACCCCCCCACTCATACCCATCACCCTCATTGTCCCCATCATCCTCTATCATCCCTGTCACCCCCATCATCCCCCATTGTCCCCACTGTCCCCTTCTTCCCCCATTGCCCCCTCATTTCCATCATCCCATCATTCCCATCATCCCCATCATTCCATTTTCCCCATCACCCTGATCATCCTCATCTTCTGCATCATCCCTGTCATCCCCATCGTCCCCATCACCCCCATCATCCCCACCATCCTGTCATCCCCATCATCCTGCATCACTCATGTCACCCACATTTCCCCCATCATCCCATTGACCCCACCACCCTCATTGTCCCCATCGTCTCTGTCACTTTCACTGTCCCTACTGTCCCCCATTGTCCCCCCACCCCACCTCCATCATTCTTCATTGGCTGCATCACTCGTTACCCCCACTGTCCCCACTGCTCCCATTGTCTCCATCATCCCCAACATCTCCATCATCCCATTGTCTCCATCATCCCCATCATGCCCATCATCTCTGTCACTGCCATTGTCCCCCATCACCCCCATCACCCTCATCATCCACTTCCTCCTTCATCCTCTTCATCAGCATCACTCATGTCACCCCCATTGTCCCCATTGCTCCCATTGTTCCCACTGCCCCCATTGTCCCCATCATCCCCATTGTCCCCTCAGTCCCACTGCCCCCCTTGTCCCCATCATCCCCATTTCCCCCATTGTCCCATTGTCCCCATCATCCCCGTTGTCCCATTGTCCCCATCATCCTCATCTACATCACTCACTTCACCCCCATTGTCCCATTGTCCCCATCACCCCCACCATCCCATTGTCCCCATCGTCCTCATTGTCTGCCTTGCTCATGTCACCCCCATTGTCCCCATCCCCCGATGCTCCCCCCAGCAGCCCCCTGATCCCCCCGTTCCCGCAGCCGCCGGCACTCCCCAGGTGCAGGTGAGCCCGGAGCGGACGGAGGTGCAGGAGGGCTCCACAGTGCGGCTCTACTGCCGGGTCTCGGGGTCCCCCACCGCCACCATCACCTGGGAGAAGCAGGGGGGCACCCTGCCGCCTCAGGTGAGCGGGGCACGGCACCCCTGGATGCTGGGGGGGGTGTGGGTGCACCGCGGGTGCCGCTCACACCGGTCCCGGTGCCGCAGTCGCGCGCCGAGCACGGTGACATCGCCACGCTGGTCATCCCCGCCGTGACGGCGGCCGACGGTGGAGTCTACCTCTGCGTGGGCACCAGCGCCGCCGGCACGGCCCGCGCCGCCATCGAGGTGGCCGTGGTGCCAGGTGAGGCGGGTGGGGGACGCCGGAGGGGTTTGGGGTTGGTTTTGGGGACCACAACCCACCCGTGTGCCCCGGTTTGCTCCCCGCAGGGACGGCGCCGCCCGTCCGCATCGAGTCCTCGTCCCCATCCGTCACCGAGGGGCAGACCCTGGACCTGGACTGTGTGGTGGCAGGGCCCGGCTCTGCCACCGTGGTGTGGTACAAGCGCGGGGGCTCCCTGCCCGCCGGGCACCAGGTGGGGCACAGCAGGGTGGGCAACGCCCCAAATCTTGCCCCGTCCCCTGCTGTGTGACACTAGTGCGTGTCCCCAACCACAGGTCTCGGGGTCCCGGCTCCGGGTGCCCCACGTCACGGCGGCTGACTCAGGGGAATACGTGTGCCGGGCGAGCCTGGGCACCACCGTCCGCGAGGCCTCTGTCACCGTCACTGTCGTGGCCGCGGCCGGCTCGTCCTACGGTGAGACCAGGGCGGCGGCACCGCGGGGGACGTGCTGGTCCCCAACGGGTGGTCACAGCTCTGTCCTCCCCCGCAGGGCCCCCGGCTTCGGGTGTCCCTGTGCGGATCGAGGCGTCCTCATCCACCGTGGCTGAGGGACAGACCCTGGACCTCAACTGCATCGTGGCTGGGCAGGGACAGGCCACTGTCACCTGGTACAAGCGCGGGGGGACCCTCCCGGCCAAGCACCAGGTAGGAGATGTGAAGGGGGTGTCACCAAGGGGGGACTATGTGGTGGCAGCACCCAGCTCTGCCCCTCCAAGGGTTGTGCAAGCCCTGATGGCCCTGGTGACCCCCGTGTCCCCTCCCCGCAGGTGTCTGGCTCCCGGCTGCGGCTGCTGCAGGTGACGGCGGCCGACTCGGGCGAGTATGTGTGCCGGGTGACCAGCGGGGCCACCACCAGGGAGAGCGCGGTCATGGTGACCATCCAGCCCAGCGGGGCCAGCGCCTACCGTGAGTGGGGACAACAGGGGGGCGGCAGTGCCAGCAGGGAGCCCCGTGTGCCTCAGCACCGAGCCATGGCTCACATGCCCCGCCGTGGTCACTGGTGTCACCGGTGTCACCCTCCTGTCTTGGTCCCCAGCCCCAGGCAACACCACCCCCCTGCACATCGACTCCCCGTCCTCCGCTGTGGTCGAGGGACAGACCCTGGACCTCAACTGTGTCATCGCCAGTGGCCCTGCCCAGGCCACTGTCACCTGGTACAAGCGCGGGGGGACCCTCCCGGCCAAGCACCAGGTAGGGGACACGGAGGGGGATGTCACCGAGGGGGTGAATAAGGTTGACCCACAACTCTGTGCAAGTCCAGGTGGCCCTGGGCAAGTCCAAGTGGCCCCTTGCAAGCCCTGGTGGCACATACAAGGTTGTGTGGCACATGAAGCCCACGCGAGTCCAATTAGCCCGTGCAAGGTCAGGTGACCCCATTCAAGCTCTGGTGGTCCCTGTGAGTCCTGGTGGCCCATTTAAGCCCACATGGCCCCGTGGAAGCCGAAATGGCCCCATAAAAGCCCCAGCAGCCCCATGGAAGCCCAGGTGGCCCCGGTGACCCCCGTGTCCCCTCCCCACAGGTGTCTGGCTCCCGGCTGCGGCTGCTGCAGGTGACGGCGGCCGACTCGGGCGAGTACGTGTGCCGGGTGACCAGCGGGGCCACCACCAGGGAGACCTCCATCATGGTGACCATCCAGCCCAGTGGGGCCGGCGCCTACCGTGAGTGGGGACAGGGGACACGGGAGGTTACCCATGGGTGGGTGTCACTGCCCGCGGTGTCCTGGGATCTGGGATGAATCGCTCCCTGGAGAAGACATTCCTATGCGTGCCCATCCCGGATTCCCAGGCTCCCAGTGTCCCTTAGAGGGTCACATGTGGTGGTGGATGCGATCTCTAACCCTTCTCGGTCCCCAGCCCCGGGCAGCACGACCCCCCTGCGCATCGAGTCGTCATCCCTGTCATCCCCCGTGACCGAGGGACAGACCCTGGACCTCAACTGTGTCATCGCCAGCCCCGCCCAGGCCACTGTCACCTGGTACAAGCGCGGGGGGACCCTCCCAGCCAAGCACCAGGTAGGGGACACAGAGGGGATGTCACCAATGGGGGAGGATGGGGGTGACCCACAGCTCTGTGCAAACTCAGGTGGCCCCACACAAGCCCAGGTGACCCCAGGTCAGTTGGCCCTGGGCAAGCCCAGGTGGCCCCATGACTATGGAAGCCCAAATGACCCCATGGAAGCCCAAGTGATCCCACACAAGCCCAGATGACCCTGTGGAAGTCCAGGTGGCCCATGGAAGCCCAGATGACCCCATATAAGCCCAGGTGGCCCAGGGAAGCCCAAGTGCAGACTCGAGTGGCCTTGTGCAATCCTAGATGGCCCCGTGTCAGCGCTGATGGCCCCGGTGACCCCCGTGTCCCCTCCCCACAGGTGTCTGGCTCCCGGCTGCGGCTGCTGCAGGTGACGGCGGCCGACTCGGGCGAGTACGTGTGCCGGGTGACCAGCGGGGCCACCACCAAGGAGATCTCCATCATGGTGACCATCCAGCCCAGCAGGGCCGGCGCCTACCGTGAGTGGGGATGGGAGGTGACAGGGGCCAGGGGACAGTGCCACAGGGCCAGGGGTGACCGTCCCATCTCTGTCCCCAGCTGCTGGTGTCACCCCCCCTGTGCGCATCGAGTCCTCGTCCTCCTCCGTGGCCGAGGGACAGACCCTGGACCTCAACTGCATCGTGGCTGGGCAGGGACAGGCCACTGTCACCTGGTACAAACGTGGGGGGTCCCTCCCAGCCAAGCACCAGGTAGGGGACTGAGGAGCGTTTTGGAGTGGGAAAGGGATTTTTGGGGGTGATGAGGGGTTTGTGTCCCCATTCTCTCCTGTGTCACCCCCCTACAGGTGTCAGGCACCCGCCTGCGCATCCCGCAGGTGACAGCGGCTGACTCGGGGGAGTACGTGTGCCGGGTGACATCGGGCACTGCCACACATGAGACATCCCTCATCGTCACCATCCAGACTGGCGCCGGCTCCTCTTACGGTACCAGGGGTGGGCGGTGACATGGGGACACAGTGGGGACACTGGGGTGCCCCCACTGACCCCACTGCCACCCCCAGGCGTCGGTGTCACGCCGCCGGTGAGGATCGAGACTTCGTCTGCTGCCGTCACTGAGGGACAGACCCTGGACCTCAACTGCATGGTGGCAGGACAGGGTCACCCCCATGTCACCTGGTACCGGCGCGGGGGGGCTCTGCCCCCCAACAGCCAGGTGGGACACGGGGGAGGTGGCATCACCCCACAGGGCACAGCCCCACGACAGGCATTGATGTGTCCCCAACGTGTCACCTCCCCAGGTGTCGGGGACCCGCCTACGCCTCGCCCAGGTGGCGGTGGCCGATTCGGGGGAGTACGTGTGCCGGGTGACCCTGGGCAGCGTCACGCAGGAGGCGTCTGTCATTGTCACCGTGCCCAGCAGCGCCGGCACCTACTACCGTGAGTGCGAGTGAGAGGGCAGCGCTTGGGGACAGTCAGGTGTCACATCGATGATAAACCTCCCCTTTCCCTGTCCCCTCCAGCCTCTGGTGTCTCCCAGCCCCTCCACATTGAGTCCTTGTCCTCGGCCATCGCCGAGGGACAGACCCTGGACCTCAACTGCGTGGTGGCCGGGTCCGGCCCCACCACCGTGACGTGGTACAAGCGCGGGGGGTCTCTGCCCGCCAGCCACCAGGTAGGGCACAGAGGGAGGTCACATTGAGTTTATCCCATCCCCTGCTCTACAGTACTGACTTGTCTCCAAATTGTCCCCTCCGAGGTGTCGGGCAGCCGCCTGCGCATCCCCCAGGTGACAGCGGCCGACTCGGGCGAGTACGTGTGCCGGGTGACATCGGGGGGCGTCACCCAGGAGACATCCCTCATCGTCACCATCGATGACGGGGCCAACCCATCCCACTGTGAGTGCCACCCTCTGGGGGACGGATCCCCACCCGTGTGGGGGACCACTGGGGACAGTCACTCCAACCCTTCCCATTCAGCCTCTGCCATCACGCCGCCCATCCGCATCGAGTCCTCGGCGTCCTCTGTCACTGAGGGGCAGACCCTGGACCTGGACTGCGTGGTGGCCGGGGAGGGACAGGCCACCATCACCTGGTACAAGCGTGGGGGGTCCCTCCCGGCCAAGCACCAGGTAGGAGGGGACACCTGCGGGGTGGGGGACGGTGGCTGTGGGTGGCTGGTTGATGCCACCACCTGGTGTTGTGGTGTCCCCAGATGTCGGGGTCCCGCCTGCGGCTGTCGCAGCTCTCGGTGGCCGACTCGGGGGAGTACGTGTGCCGGGCAGACACGGGCAGTGTCTCCCGCGAGGCCACTGTCACCGTCACCGTCACCTCCCGGGACAGCTCCAGCTACCGTGAGTGCAGCAGTGGGGTGGGGGAGGATGGTAGGGGGTGTGGGTGACATGGATGACCTCATGGCTTCCCTGTCCCTTTGTCCCTGCAGGCCTGCAGAGCCCCATCATCTCCATCGACCCGCACAGCATGGCCGTGGCACCGGGGGAAGATGCCACCTTCAAGTGCCGCGTCCATGACGGCGCCCGGCCCGTCAACGTCACCTGGCGGATGGGACCTGGCCAGCACTTCCAAGGTATAGTGGTGCCCGGGGTGGCCCTGGCACGGTACCCAGCATGGCCCTGGTGCTGATGGCCCCTCCTTGCCCAGACAACGTGAAAATCAGCGCTAATGGCTCGGTCATCTCCATCACTGGTGCCCACGTGGGCAACCAGGGCGCCTACCACTGCGTGGCCTCCAACCGCTTCGGCGTCGCCAGCAGCGTCGTCAACCTCGTGGTGCAAGGTATGAGGTGGCTGTGGTGGCCCTGTCCCTGTCCCTGTGTTGCTCCAGATGCCCCCTGGGTGGTGGCATCCCCATTAACATCCTCACGTTGGTGTCTCTCATGGGCTCCAGGTCTTCCTGCACTGGTGGTGTCCCCATCCTCATGTCCTCCAGTGCCCCCAGGGTGGTGGCATTCCTGTCCCTGTCCCCATGCTGGTGTCCTCACATGCTCCAGATACCCCCTGTCCCCTCCATGCTTCACCTGGAGTGGTGGTGCCTGTGTCCCCATGCTGGTGTCCTCCCGGTGCTCCAGGGGTTGTGATGTCCCCATCCCCATGGCGATGTCCTCGATGTGCTCCAGATGCCCCTGGGATGATATGTCCCCATCCCTGGGTCCTCCATGTGCTCCAGATGCCCCTGGGATGGTGGGGTCCCCAGCCCCACCCCCATGCTCACGTCCTCCTCTTGTTCCCGACATCCCCAATGTGATGGTGCCCCCATGGCCATCCCTCACAGTGGTGTCCCCATCCCCACACCCCTGTCCTCCTCCTTCTCCAGGTGCCCCCACCGTGTCAGTCATGCCACCAGGCCCCGTGACGGTGAAGGAGGGCAAATCCCTGAGCCTGGAGTGCCTCGGGCGGGGTGAGCCGCGGCCGCTGGTGCGCTGGAGCCGGCTGGGCTCCCGGCAGAAGGTGGAGCACCAGACCCTGCTGCACATGGACAGCCAGGCCATCCTGCAGGTGAGGGGGCACCCCGGGGTGCTTCAGGGCACCAGAGGATGCCCAGTGCTCACCCCACACCCTGTCCTCTCCACCCAGCTCTCGCCGGCCAAGCCGGAGCACGCCGGGACCTACGTGTGCACGGCACACAGCGCGCTGGGCTCGGCGCAGGCGCGGGTGGACGTGGGCGTGGAGTCGGCGCAGCGGCACCCCGGCACCCCTGAGGTCACCGCGCCGGCCACCGTCACCGTGGTGGCCGGGGACACGGCCACGCTGCACTGCACTGCCACAGGTATGGGCAGGAGGGGGTGGTGGTGCAGGACGGGCACCCCGGGCGGTGCCCGACCTGACGGGCGCCGGTGTGGCCGCAGGGGACCCGATGCCGCGGATCGAGTGGTCGAAGCTGCGGGCACCCCTGCCCTGGCAGCACCGCGTGGTCAACGGGACCCTGGTGATCCCTCGTGCCGCACAGCAGGACTCAGGCCAGTACATCTGCAATGCCACCAGCCCCGTGGGCTCCACAGAGGTCTTCGTCACCCTGGACGTGGAGAGTAAGGAGAGGGTGCCAGAGGGGTTGGGTGCCCCTGGGCCCCTCCTATCGCCTTCACCTCTGGCATCACCCATCCTTAGCTCCTCTCTGTCCTTCCTCTGCACATGCCCATCCCCATCGCTGCTCCCACTCTCACATCCAGCCCTTCCCTGTGGGATCGTCCTCATCCCATCCCAGCGCTCGTCCTCTTCCTCTCCATCTCCTCTCAAGCTCTGTCACCCAGTCCTTCCCATGGATGTGGCCACCAGCTTGTCCCATCTCTGTGCACGTCTGTCTCCACTTCTGCTCTCTCCTCCATCCATCCATCCATCCATCCATCCATCCATCCATCCATCCATCCATCCATCCATCCCCTATTCCTGGATCCATCCACGGCTCACCCCTCCCAGCTCACACTCACCTCTCCATCTCTGCTCGTATCTCTCCTTCCATTTCTTCCTCATGGCTCCATCCATCACATTCATCCCAAAACACACCTATCTCTCCATCTCCTTACTCCTCCATCTGTCTCTTCCTTGTGGATTCACCCATCTCTGGCCCATCCCAGCACATGCCCATCTCTCCATTTCTTCTCACACCCTTCCATCCATCCCTTCCTTGTGCATCATCCATCTCATCCATCCCAGCACACGCCCAACTCACCATCTCCTCTCAGACTCTGCCAATCATCCATCCATCCATCCATCCACTCACATCCCCTCCCCTTCCTTGTGGATTCATCCATCACTCAGCTGTCCCAGCTCTCCATCTCCTAACTCCTCCACCCGACTCCTCCATCCCAGCACACACCCATCTCTCAGTCTCCCCTCAGACTTATCCATCCAACCCTTCCTGGTACGTTCATCCCTCACATCTTACTCTCCATTTCCCAACTCCTGCATCCATCTTTTCCTTGTGCATCATCCATCTCCTCCATTCCAGCACACGCCCAACTCGCCATCTCCTCTCAGACTCTGCCAATCATCCATCCCTCCATCCCTCCATCCCTCCATCCCTCCATCCCTCCATCCCTCCATCCATCCCTCCATCCATCCTTCCCTCCTGGTAGATCCATCCATCACTCAGTGTCCCAGCCATCCATATCTCATCTCCTCTCCCACTCCTCCATCCATCCCTTCCTCACAGATCCATCCAACCCTCATCCATCCCAACGCCCACCCGCCTCCATCCCCCCCACACCCCGTTCCAACACCCTCCTTGCCCCGCTGCCCCGTTCCCGGCCCCATTCCCGCTGAGGCTCCGTGCATCCCGCAGCCGCTCCGTACGCCACGGTGCTGCCGGAGGACGCCGCGGTGCGCGCGGGGGACTCGCTGCAGGTGCAGTGCCTGGCTCACGGCACCCCCCCGCTGCACTACACCTGGGCCAAGGTGAACGGGAGCCTGTCGGGGCGCGTGTCCCACCGCGCCGGCCTCCTGCGCATCGGCCCCGCCGCCCCCGCCGACGCCGGCACCTACCGCTGCCTGGTCACCAACCGCGTGGGCACCGCCGAGGCCGTCGCCCGCGTGGCCGTCCACGGTGAGCCCTCTGGGACCGGGGTGCCACTGGGCTCTGCGTCACTCCTGGGTGCTCCTGGTGCTGCCTGGGTGATACTGGTGCTCCTGGGTACTACCGGGCCCTGCATCCCGCCCGGGTGATCCCAGTGCCACCTGGTACCATCGATGTCCTCCACCCCTCCCAGGTGGCACTGCTGAAGGTGTGGACATCGGTGGTGGTCCCTTGGCCGTGCGGGTGACCCCGGGGAGCCTCGTCAAGGGAGTGGGCGGCACCGCCGAGTTCGCCTGCTCCGTGTCCGGGGACCCCCGGGCGCGTGTGGAGTGGCTGAAGGAGGGCGGGGAGCTGCCCCCCACCCACAGCGTGAGGGACGGGGTGCTGCGGTAAGGATCGGGGGGTGGGGAGATGGGACCCCCCTGACCCCCTCTGGGGTCCCTCACCCCGGCTGTGTCCCCACAGGATCCCGGAGCTGGCGTGGGGGGCACAGGGGGTGTACGTGTGCCGGGCCAATGCCCCGGGCGGGCAGGCGGAGGACAGGGCCACCCTCACCGTCCAGGGTAGGAGCAGCACCGGGGCACAGGAGACCCCTGACCTATCCCCCACGGGCACTCTGGTACCCCCATCTCCCCACACGCAGGGCACCCCAGTACCTTCCATTTCCCTAAATCCACGGTCACCTGGGCACCCCCCCAAGTCTCCCAACACCCATGGACACCCCGATATCCCAAATCTCTCCCCATGCCCACAGGCACCCCAATACCCTCAATCTCTCCCCACACCCATCACAACCCTGGTACTCCCTCTCTCCCCATGCCCGTGGGTACCCCAACACCCCCAACATCTCCCCAGCCCGTGGGCACCCCAACACCTCCAACATCTCCCCATTCCCAATCCCACTGGTCCCCCCATCCCCTTGAGCACCCCATTTCTCCCCATCTCCCACTCCTCTCGTGGCACCCTGGGCTGCGATGCCTCCCTGTGCCAGGGGGTCACCCCAAAACCCCGCTGTGCCCCCAAGCTCTCCCCAGGGCCCTGATCAACATCCGGACGGCCGTGCAGACGGTGCTGGTGGGGACGACAGTGGAGCTGGAGTGCCTGGGCTTGGGTGAACCGCGTCCCCACGTCACCTGGAGCAAAGTGGGGGGCCGCATCCGGCCCGGGGTGCTGGTCCGCGCTGGCACCCTCACCATCGAGCGGGTGGAGCGGGCGGACGCGGGGCAGTACCGCTGCACCGCCACCAACGCCGTGGGCACCGTCCAGTCCCACGTCATCCTGCACGTGCAAGGTGGGCACGCAGGGCTGGGGGACACACGCGGAGCTGGGGGGACACACACGGTGTCACCGCAGCCCTGGTGACACCCCCGTGTGTCCCCAGCCGCCCCCCAGATCGCGGGGCAGCCAGAGGTGAAGGAGGTGTCCGTGGGATCGGCGGCCGTTCTGCCGTGCCTGGCGTCCGGCTTCCCGGTGC